ATTAAACCAAGAGTTCCAAATGGTTAAGTTGAAATAATCCCTTCGTAAGTTTTACGGACGCCATCATGAGTTGGTTGACCGTTATGGAATAACAGTTTTACAGATGATATCGGATATGTTCCTTATGTTGTGATTACAATCCACTTCCTTTTTCACCACGAATGTGACCTAACGAATTAGACTATTTACCGGATTTGAAATAACATGAGCAACCCGACGGGTGCACCTGTGGAGCAGGATCTGTTTACCCTTTCGGAGCACCTGAGATCACCCCCAGTTTTTGGTGGGGTTCGTGTTGCTTAGTCTTTAGTTTTCTATGTTGTGTCTTGTGTACTATTATTTGTCTGTTTGTCTTTTTATTTTTTAGCCATGGCGTTGTCAGTTTATTTTCGATCTATGAGTTTGACTGTCCCTCTGGTATCTGTTGCCCCTCTTTTACTGCTGCAAACCAAGCATACTTTTTGACTTGGCTCTTATTTAGCCATGTAGATAGATTATCAATTTGTTAAATTCAGACGAATTTATTGTGGAGAATTAAGGATGTTGTGACACTATATGTAAAGAATCCTGGTAACAACTCTGTGAGAGGTACGCAGGCGGCCTCTTGTAAGACGATTGTGTCTCTATCCAGCTACCTTCTTTACCTCGCCCTTCATCACTATCGAAATACTTTGCAAAACGGTCGTTTTTTACTTCATTTTATTTTTCTCGTCCTTAATAAGCATGATATATTTGCCACTGGACGTTAAGCAAACACCATTCATTAACATCAGATAACCGATGTTTTGTGCATAAATCAGGCCATTGGTTTCTTGTTTGAATTCTTTTACATTTTGACATTTCGAGACCTTCTTATAGAATACTATACGGTACTATTTTTGCTCATTGTTAAAGGCTTATTAACTTACTTACGATTTACTATAGATGCTTATATCTTTGTCACTTGGTCTCTGTAAATAGTTGGAAGATGTCTTTGGAAGATCCATTGTATAAAGTATGGTTACTTTGCTAATATCGTCTGTATTCCGTGAACTTGAAATAAGAGATACATAAACAGAACTTTAGTAGTGCATATGACCTCCTGATGTTTGTTTCTAGCCTACATGATGAATACTCTACTACTTATCAGGATCAATGGGATGCCATCTGCTCACTATAGTAATTCCTACGATGTTCTGTGTATACCGATGCAGTTCCTTTCATGGCTATTGTTCTTTCGCGAATTGTATATAAAATAGAAGAAGGTGTTGTTTTGTCCCAAACACCAGGAGTCGGTTTCACAAAAACACTTACGACTAAGATTCATCGTAAGTATACTGAATTGTTCATGACTTACGATCAATCTTAGTCGTAAGTTTGTTTTTGTGAAACCGAATCCAGGCTATTAGATAAGCATGTAAAAAATTATCAAAGGTTGTTTGAAACAACAGTGCGTTTTACATTATAGCAGAATAATCCTAGAATTATAAAAAAAAACGCCTTTATATTTAAAGGTCTGTCATGCAGTTCATCGTAAAGTATTACTGATTACAGGTTTTTGGATAATTTCAGTCAGGTGAATTGAGTTGCCTCTCTTTGCCTGTAGATAAATAAAAGGTATTTTAATTGTGTTTATTCTGTTTATTATGTGTTTAACTCGGATTGCTGCAATATATAGTTTCATTCATAAATAAAAGGATATATCCGGATATCACAAAAACCCACTGGTAAAAAACAAAAATAAAAGATTCATAGATCAACAAGAAGTCTTTACGAATTTAAATAGACACTATAAAAGATTTGCTGTAACGGCAAACAAAGAAAACAATAGCTATAGACAACTATGACCATGTTTCTCTACCGTTTCGACACACACCCAATCCGCTTTCATAGTCGGACTTACAAATCCTACAAAGCCGTTATGACAATAGACATCATAGACACTTCAGGTTTCAATTTGCTTCCGAATCTATATTATAACCACCAAATAGACAGTTGAAAAAGGCTTAACTCATCAGCTCGATACCAAGCACAACAAATAACAACAAAAACAAAAACAAAAAGGACACAAAGTAAAGATCTGAGAGTACTCGCAGTTACTAAAAGCCAACTTATAAAAAATCATGTACCTGATACTAAAATATCAATCAGTACACATCCAGCATCCAATGGATTTAGTGTAAGGATTATATTAAAAGTCAAAGAAAACAATGACCTTGTGCAATGCCAAAGTATATTTCACTTATTCTTTTCTGTAATCTAAATGCAACATAATCAAAACTGTCTTATAACTTGGTTATTTTAGTGATCATACTACTGTTCCTGTGTTATTCAGCAGGGGGTCGTTTTCACCTCGGCTTGTATTACAACATGTGTTAATCTGATCATTATTTTCAGATAATTGTCTTTTACGTAGAGTACATGTATATTCAATTCTTTTATCATGCATTAATGCTTTTGCAGCTACTATGGGTATATATTGTTGATCGTGTTCAATTTTACTATGTATGGGGGGTCCTAGGGGATTTACCGCGATTACTTCTTTCACTTATTATGTGGCAAATAAGTACTTAGTGGGTCGGTCACCACTATTAACTCAGGATTTGAATAACCGAGCCTACTCCAGTGTATTATTCTTATGATAAGTTCAGGTTAAAGTCAGTATATATGTAGGACTCGGAGGTGCGGTGGGGGCGCTGAAGTGCGATGGTCACTCTGAAGTGCGATGGTCTACGACGCAGTGCGATGGTCCGTTCGCTGATGTGCAATGGTCTATATGACGCGTGGTAGCTAGTTTTATAATAAAATCTACAGATGTGCAATTATTTTAGCAGTATAGCTGGTATCTAGATTAGCATTCATTATTGTCTATGTTTGTCATTTGTTACAGTTGCATACAAGATGAACGATAGTCCTCTTTGATTTTCTGCATGTGGACATAAGTCTGAGATAACAATTATCTTTACTTTGTTCCTCTCATGAGATCCTCGTTTACCGTTATATTAGGAGAGTCTACGGACCCGCATGTATTTAGAGAATGCCACGCTCCATTGTACGTAACTTGAAAAAAAACTTTCGTAGATTTCGAAAAAAAATCCGCAACAGAAGGTTTACTTTTCCCTCTCCCCCGAACACACCCCATTTCCCGAAGTATTAAAGGTGTATAAGCCCCTTATTAAATTAATAACCCGAAAAACTGCTTCTAACAAACAAATTGACTTCGAAATGAAAAACATTGAAAATATAGTTTATGTAGTCCATCGCACTTCAGCGTTACCAGCATTGCACCGGCGTAGCTATCAACAAGATAGCGTCACAATGCCACCATCGCACATCAGCGTGGTTAAAAACGCACTTCAGCGTCAAACCATCGCACATCACCGTGACCATCGCGGTTCGGATCAGCATCGCGGTTCAGAGTCCTACATATATATTAAAATATCGAATGCTTAAAATTTTCCAGCCACAATTACCAAGGGCATAGAGTATTTGATAACATAGTAAAGAAAACACATTTAATGATTAACAAAGGCGTGATGATTACTGTAACCATTCACTGAGGGTGGAAGACATTGTTCTTAATACTAATACTTTATTCCAAAAGCACGTACAGCTTATAGGATATATACAATGTTTGACAAATTTAGTATACATGCACCATATCACATAAACAGACATATAATTGTTTACTTTTTATACATTGTGACTTGGATGGAGAGTTGTCTCATTGGCACTCATACCACATTTTCTTATATATATATAATCAAATATTAACTACATAAAATACCATTCATGTTACAACAAACTCTTGGCGTTAATGACAAGTTGATACCAGTTCAGTGGCTCGGTGAGTGTGCGCCCCTAAAACTGCCAAAGCGTCAGTTTAAATGATAAAAATTATATAGAATTGGGTGTGTGTGAGCAGGAAGTAAATCCTTCAAATCAGGGCTCTTGACCAGTTGGTGAAATAGACAGTCTCAGATACCTCGCCTATTTGTTTCTGAACAACTGAATTTGATTCTTTAAATGTATTTCACAGAATGCTCGAAAATCAAACATTTTTTAGACCAGTGCCTTCCTAAATATATGTTGCGGGTAACAATAACTGCAGGTAACAATAAAAAACACGATAAGTAGCATTACTACCAGTATATATCATTTTGACGAAAATTATGAGGCCCTGCCCCATAGGTCATGGTCCAATGACTTTGCATTAATTAGCAATGTTCATTGTTAAGTTTTCTGCTTATGTCAGTTTGATAAGAACTACAAGTGATGGATCAATGATATTTTGTATAAAGTTGCATCACTATCAGTACATATATTGTATCAGTTCACTTTGACGACTATTTTGAGGCCCAGCCACCTAGGACATGGTCCAGTGTCTTTCAATTAATTAGCTATTTTCAATGTTAAAATTCTGCTTAAGTTAAATAAATTGACAGGAACTACATACAGTAGGCAACGATATTTTCTATAAAGTTACACTACTGTCTGTCGACCATTTTCAGGCCCTGTCCACTAGATCATGATACAGCGACTTTTCAATGTTAAGATTCTTTCTTAAGTTAAATAAATTGACAGGAACTACATACAGTAGGCAACGATATTTTCTATAAAGTTACACTACTGTCTGTCGACCATTTTCAGGCCCTGTCCACTCGATCATGATACAGCGACTTTACATTAATAAGCAATGTTGCTGTCAATCAGATTGTCTTTTTCTGAATTGTATGCCGACAGGCGAGACATATCTCTGTGTCAACATTTTCTTTTAGGTATCATTTTTGTTATTATCGTTATTCATACGATTATTCGTTTTGTATTATAATTTTTTTTTGTATTATTATTATTGTTTTCATTATTTCAAAATGGAATAATATGGAATTGTTTTCAACTTGCGGTAATGTAATATACCGTATAAAGTGACTGATTGCAAGTAAACATGAAAGGTAATAATTCTCATATTAATTCTCTGAAATCCATTACCTAAAATATAGATACCTAAAACTCTCGTAGATGCATGTACAACCAATAGAACTGACGCTTTCTGTATGCAAAAGGTTCGTTGCTTTTATGAACTAAATTGTCATGTCAACCTATTTGAAACTCGTAGATTTTTTTTAGATACAATGTACTTGAATTGACAGACTTTCAAAAACTCATAAGATTCTAATAGAATTGTTTTTACTTTTTATTCTATTTATTTTCAGATTACCAAAGTAACATTGTCATATCTGTAATAGACATGGAGTGTCATTATATATCCGTAACTTTTCATAAGTATTAACTAGACTTTTATCAAATCTTTTCTACATAATGCATGCCCTTTTAATCGTTTTGCTGTTTGTTTTATTTTATGAGTTGAACAGGGTTTTGAAGGTTTACCATAGCAATATATTTTCATTCATATCAATACAAAGGTTAAAGACTGTCTGAAAAAATGTGTTCCCTTTTTTTATTTTGATCCTTTATGTTTTTGCAAGGTATGGTAAACTTTTTTATTTTTCAACTTTTTTACCCAAGTACATGTAAAGTTCCTTAATCTTAATTATTATTATTTAGATGAAGATGATTTTTCCATTGCTTGTGATATTTTGCTGTATATAGATATCTGGTATAAAATCCTCTATAAAGAGATTTGAAGAGAAGTTGGAAGGTAAGATACCAGTTTATTTATAAGGCTAATATACAGTTTAACCGACATAACTTAAAAAAAAAACATTTTGACTCCGTGCAAATAAGAGCTGAATAATATGCTGACATTCAGATGCCTTTTGTTTATTTGTGTCTTTGGGTTGCTGCTCTGTTATCCCACATCAATGAAGAGACATTAAATTTGCTTACATTTAAATCAAAGAAAGAGTGTTTTGTCGAAGCTATCCGTTTTCTATACATTTATACAACTTCAGACTGAATCGGTTATAAAAGATGCAACCAAAAATGCTGGGACATTTATTTTAAATATTTTTTCAATATGCATCAATCTCAGACATTAACTCATAAAATCATCAATTACAAAATACTTAGATCTTTAAAGAAAGCCTTTTCTTTTGTATAACTATTTGTAGAAAAATCTCCGAGATGTAGAACAGGATGGAAAGAAGTCAAAGACCGATGTTATTTCTTTTCCACTGACAAAAAACCCTGGCATGAGGCGGAGGTACGTGCTAAAAACTTTATATTAAACAGTGTGGAACAAGAAGAAACAATAGCTAAAACGGTATATATCAAAATATATTTAGTAAAACATAATAGGGTATATAGTGAATCATTCTTATCCTTTGGCTGATTATTGTCTCATTTGCTATAATATCACATTTCATGTTTAACCTCGGTGTCTGAGTGGTCAAAGTAAATAACTACTGCATCACTAGCATGTCAACACGGAAGATAGAGCTCGACTTCTACCTTAATTGACTAGGATTGTCGGTTTTCCTGCTGAAGGTCGTTGGTACTATCCGGGCTCTCCGGCTTCCTCTACCAATATAAACTTACCTCCAATATATAAGCAATAGTACTGAAAGTGACGTTAAATACCAACAGCCAATCAATCAATTATATTTCCTTATCTCTATAATGATAATTTTGACGGAAGACGTCATTTTTGTTTCCGTTGCCATGCAGTGATGTGCTTTATTCAAATTTATTTAAAAGTATACAACATATACATAAATGGCTTTTCAAATTTAGCGAAATTGGTTTTTACGACTGGTAACCCGACAGGAATCACATATATCATGTTTATATAGTCCTTTTAAGTAGAATTGAAATTTGTATAAAGTTTTGAAGCATAACGTTAGATATATTGTTTACTTCTAGATTTTGTTTTATTACAATCATTTGTGTTTGTAGGTAGAGTGTCGAAATCTAGGAGGGTACGTTACACAAGTTACTGATTCTGCAGATAATTCCTGGATTGTTTCTTTGATTACGAGTAAAAGTAAGTTTGTCATCTTTTTTTTTTAAAAGAAACCCGAGTTTTACATTAAAGTTATGAAACATTTACTGGTTTATAGATGTGTTCTTCATCCGGACTTCTCTCAACTAGTAGTAAAACTAATGATTAATAATAAGAGAGGGATAATTTGTCACTTGACTTTAAGCAATCAACAACATGTATTATATTCACTTTTGTTTTGTTGTAATTTATGTCCGCATAGTTTATTCAATTTGAATTTTTTTTTTAAAACGACCTATATTCTTTCAATAAATTTAACTGCTTAGCTTGCGTTGTACATGCTTGTGGAAATAAAACAAATGCAACACATGAAGTATCAATGAATTAATATTAATGTCTTGCAATTTCATCATATATCTAATAATGCCTGGAACTTGGGGTTAATTATACAGAAGTGATTCAGCAGAACTACTGGATGGGTGCAACAGATTTCAAGGAGGGTGATTGGAGATGGATGAACGATTTGTCTAAAGTACATTTTACCAGTTGGAGCTCCAGACAACCTGATAATGCAGGCGGCAAAGAGGACTGTGTTCATTTCACGACTGGAGATACCTATACATGTCTAAAGTACATTTTACCAGTTGGAGCTCGAGACAACCTGATAATGCAGGCGGCAAAGAGGACTGTGTTCATTTCACGACTGGAGATAACTATAAATGGAATGACCATGTGTGCAGCAATATGTTTGGGTATATTTGTGAGAGTCCTCAGGTAGTTATCATTAGTTACATATCTCTATTTAATATTTGATTTGACGCCACGATTTTATAAATAGCACGGTACAAAATGATACATCACTATAGCAGCAAATCTCTATACGTATTTTAAAAGTATCTCTAGATGTGTTAACTGGTCAACGATAAATCGTTCGGTGTGGATCGGTGTGTGATCCAACATTTACAAATACAAACTATCAATGGGTGAATTTTATTAAAATCACGTCCTTACAGTTGCAAATTGAATGTTGCAGATATGAGAATAAATACCGAATCCATTTCATTTTAGTTTTATTTTTTTCTTATCATTTTATGTATGAAATTTGATGAATATTTTCTTTTAAACAAAGACTTAATTTTTTGCATTATATTGTAGGGTTCCAATTGTCTTCCGTACTCAAGACTGTTAAAGAGTGCTGTCCGTAGAAAGTAGCAACATGCAACAAATGTGAAATAATAAAAAAGTTTTGTTTCATATTTGATTTCTTGTATTTATATATTTTCATTTATGAATGTGCCCTGTTGTACAATCCCATATTATTTCAAAATCCAAAAGTATATTATATGATGTGATGTACGTTAGGTTTCCGTAGAACAGTTTAGTTATCCAGCTAACTACATGTATTAACGATGAACATGGATTTTGTGTTTTAAGCTTTGGTATAAAGTTTTCAGTTCCCACTTAATTTGGTATTTGGTTCAATTAAAACTTGTTTTCGTTTTTATACGGATGTTGTACATACTATGGTCATTTTGTAGCCCAATATCCTGGCGTACTTCTCGATCAGAAGCACGGGTTTGTCCACTTTTGAAACCTTAACTTTCTATACTATTTTTTATGTTTACGTCTGTTCTGGCAATTTTTCATCGTCAGTTTCACCGACATTTATTTTATTTTTAATTTGCGTTATTATTCATCAGTTCTGTTTTATTATTCAATAATCGAGAAATCAGTGGAAGGTTGGGTGCTCAAACCGATACCTTCAAATTGACATGTAAGGACAAAGGTTTAAATCCATAACGTCAATGAACATAACATAAACGGAAAGAGATCATGGCTCATCTTCAAAGGAAAGACGACGTTGGGAAAAAAAAACCTAGACTAGTGTGATAGTCTGTCGTACATGTAATATTGTTAATTCTTAGGTTGCTGTTTTGTAGATGAATATCATTCTTTTTCATACGAAATCATAATGTATAGATGAAAATACATATCCCTTTTTTTAAGATTTTCGTAAATGCTTTTAAGGTCACGCCAAATTAATACCTCGTTCGTCGGATCACCCGAGTGTTGTGAAAGGTCGACAAGAAAAAGGGACTTTTTTAAAAAACCCGAGTCCGTCTCTAGATTTATGAAACAAAAATTTTAATCAGTTGTGCGTTTGAAAATAACGACATACAGGCACGGGAAATTGTCTCAAAAACGATCTAGATCTAACATTCAAAACGTTGTTCTCACAGGGAAAACGACGTGATTTACAAGATAGAAGGCGCGCCTGTATCCCTGCACTACTAAAGTCTGAAGCATTTTCAGGATCATCATTCTGCAGGTTAGTTTAGCAATAATCTATGTTCCGTAAGTACGTAATCTCAATTCCCGTACTACTAAAGGGAGGATGATCATCTAATTAGATTTAGATTTCCCAAATATTTTGTACAGTATAGCATCAAACTTTTTCACCCGTTCGCTCAACGTGTTGGAAGTAACGATGCCTACATTTTTGTCAAATGATGATGGAAGTCACAAGACAGATTCAACTAACTACCGTATCTCGGAACTGACGTATACTAACATTTTCTAAATTTACCACTTTTATAATAAACGCTGGACAAAACAGTTATGTGTGATATTAATACTTTATTATTCTGTTTTAGAAATTGAAGTCAAATGGTAGCATGACCATCTTCGAATGAAGCTTGTTTATGGTATTCATGCCTACCGTCATTTTACATCAAATTTATAAAAAATTTGGAAGCCTTTTCGAATAATTCTCAAAAAAATATTTCAATGTGTTTTGAAATTTATATTGTAAATATACACACTGCAGTTATTAATAACTTCAAGAATGATAAATAAAAAAATATATCATACCGTTATATCCCATCACAGTGCTCCTAATTTGACTTCCTTCACCTGCCTTGGGTACACGAAAGGCCAACCTAAAGCCAGAAAAATGTAATACTACTTTTTTCCCTACAATATTATAGCCAAATATATTATGATATACAATCTAAACGTAAACAGGAGTAGAATATTTGTAGTTACAATGGCAACGCAGGCAAATACCTTACTGTTTGTTTGGAGATATTTGTAATGTTTGGTATCTTTATTAAATGTTGCATCGCACAGAAAATAATAAGTTACTGCTGCAAACCAGGCCTACTTTTTGACTTAGCTCTTATTTAGCCATGTAGATAGATTATCAAATTGGTAAATTCAGACGAATTTATGAGGGAGAATTTAAGGATGATGTGACACTATATGTAAAGAATCCTGGTGACAACTCTGTGAGGGGTACTCAGGCGGCCTCTTGTAAGACAATTTTGTCTCTATCCAGTTCCCTTCATTATATTTTTCTCGTCCTAAATAAGCATGATATATTTGCCACAGGACGTTAAGCAAACACCACTCATTGACATCATATAAATAAAGGCAACAGTAGTATACCGCTGTTCGAAACTCATAAATCGATAGAGATAAAAACAAATCCGGGTTACAAACTAAAACTGAGGGAAAACGCACCAAATATAAGAGGAGAACAACGACACAACAAAAACACAACATTAAAATGTAACACACACAGAAACGAACTATAATATAACCGATGTTTTGTTCATAAATCAAACCATTGGTTTCTTGTTTGAATTCCTTTACATTTTGACATTTCGAGACCTTTTTATGGAATACTATGCGGTATTATTTTGTTCATTGTTGAAGGCTTATTTACCTACTTACATACGATTTACTATAGATGCTTACATCTTTGTCACTTGGTCTCTGTAAATAGTTGGAAAAAGTCTTTGGAAGATCCATGGCGTAAAGTACTAGTATTGTACTTTGCTAATATCAACTATATTCCATGAACTTGAAATAAGGGATACATAAACAGAACTTTATAAGTGCATATGGCTTCCTGATGTTTGTTTCGAGCCTACATGATGAATATTCTATTACTTATCAGGAACAATGGGATGCCATCTTCTCACTATAGTAATCCCTACGATGTTATGCGTATACCGATGCCCTTCCTTTGATGGTTATTGTTCTTTCGCGAATTGTATATAAAATAGAAGAAGGTGTTGTTTTGTCCCAAACACCAGGCTATTAGATAAGCATGTAAAAAATTATCAAAGGTTGTTTGAAACAACAGTAAGTTTTACATTAAAGCAGTATAATCCTAGAATTGTAAAAAAATCCTTCATAATTAAAAGTCTGTCATGCAGTTCATCATAAAGTATTACTGATTACTGGTTTTGGATAATTTCAGTCAGGTGAATTGAGTTGCCTCTCTTTGCCTGTAAATAAATAAAAGATATATTAATTGTGTTTATTCTGTTTATTATGTGTTTAACTTGGCTTGCTGCAATATATAGTTTCATTCATAAATAAAAGGATATATCCGGATATCACAAAAACCCATTGGTACAAAACAAAAATCAAAGATTCATAGATCAACAAGAAGTCTTTACGAATTTAAATAGACCCTATCAAAGATCTACAGTAACGCAAAACAAAGAATGCAAAAATCATAAAAATAGCTATAGACAACTATGACATGTTTCGTTACCGTTTCGACACACACCCAATCCGCTTTCATAGTCGGACTTACAAATCCTACAAAGACGTTATGACAATAGACATCATAGAAACTTCATGTTTCAATTTGCTTTCGAATCTAGATTAAAACCACCAAATAGACAGTTGAAAAGGGCTAAACTCATCACATCGATACCAAGCACAAAAAATAACAACAAAAACAAAATAACACAAAGTAAAGATCTGAGAGTACTCGCAGTTACAGAAAGCCAATAACAACTTATAAAAAATGATGAACCTGATACTAAATAAAGGCAACAGTAGTATACCGCTATTCGATATTCATAAATCGATTGAGAAAAAAACAAATCCGGGTTACAAACTAAAACTGAGGGAAACATATCAAATATAAGAGGAGAACAACGACATAACAGAAACACAACACTAAAATGCAACATACACAGACACGAACTATAATATAAAAATGGCCATTTTCCTGACTTGGTACAGGACATTTTAAGAAAAAATGGTGGGTTGAACTTGATTTTGTGGCTAGCCAAACCTCCCGCTTTTTTGCCAATGTTAAATATAACATTAAAATGACAAGATTACATGACAGGACAACAATACAAATAAATGGGAGAACATATGGGACAGAGACACACACAAATAATAGCTATCAAAAGGTACCATGCTTATAATTTAATACGCCAGACGTGCGTTTCGTCTACATAAGACCCATCAGTGACGCTCAGATAAAAAAAGTTCGAAAGCCAAAACAAGTACAAAGTTGAAGAGCATTTAGGACCAAAAGTTCCAAAAAGTTGTGCCAAATATGCCTGGGATAAGAAAATCCTTAGTATTTAGAATAATTCATACTTTTGCAAACAGTAAAATTATAAAAATGACTATATAATAGATATACATGTTAACACCGAAGTGGTGACTAACTACAGAATAAAAACGAATACGTAAAACAACCTAAACTAGCACATAAAATAGGCTTAAAATATCAATCAGTACATATCCAGCATCCAATGAATTTAGTGTAAGGATAATATTAAAAGTCAGAGAAAACAACAATTATTTGATAACATAGTAAAGACAACACCTTTAATGATTAACAAAGGCGTGATGATTGATTACTGTAACCATTCACCGAGGGTGGAAGGCATTGTTCTTATTTAATAATAATACTTTATTCCAAAAGCAAGTACAGCTTATAGGATACATACAATGTTTGACAAATTTATTATACATGCACCATATCACATAAAAAGACATATAATTCTTTACTTTTTATACATTGTGACTTGGATGGAGAGTTGTCTCATTGGCACTCATACCACATCTTCTTATTTATATATAATCAAATGTTAACTACATTTAATTACATTAAATCACTCTTATACCTAGAACAATATCAAGAATAACGTAGAGTATAACTTACATAGAATTGTTCAAATAAGCAGCGTAGTTTCTCAACTAATTTTAAGTATTTACGAATTATGTTCAGTTCTTTAATATTTAGAGAGACAGAGTTGGTTTCGCAACTTTGAAACTTTCAGTCCTGTAGACGAAAATAATTCTCTGAAGATACAAATCCGGCAGAATCGTTAAGACACGTTTAGCCAAAAGTGCAAGCCTAGGAAAACTGCTCTCGTGTATAGCCTACCTCTTTTCAGAGGCATTTCAAATGACAATCAAGCTCAAACATT